ACTTTATTACAATGGTATATTAGAGTAAAATCCCAGTTACTGAGACTTGTTTTTGTACTAAATATTAAAAATTACCTCTAGTAACTTGTATAGTTTAATAAAATTCCTTCACAGTATATTAATGCAAAGCTATGAAATTCACTTACTTATATGTTAATAACTAGTATAGCTGGTTTTTAACACAACACTTACGAAGTTTTGCTTACTGTGAAATACTAACATGCTCTTATTAACCATTTTAAGTTTAGCGCCATTAGACTTGCACTTACTTTCTGGGTGACTGACAGATCTGTCATTGGTTGCTGTTCTTAGAATATGTCTGTCAAATTGAATTTATCTCAGACGTATACTTATTTCTTCTGTTGGGTGTAAGGTACAGTCATTTCTTAGAAATCATTTAATTATTAGTGCATTTATACAAAGAAATATCAGCCTAATTTATAATAATGTATTATGTTTAGGAAAGGATTTTAAAAATATTTTTACCTTTTAGCAAGATTTTAACAAAATTGTATTGCATATGTAACAACTAATGTTTAATAAAAGGCTTAATAACTAATACAATTGGAATATAACTAGTGTTTCTGCATCAATGGTTTTGAAAAGGTATTCATAACACCTGTTTTTTGTTTTATATATTGAGACCCTGCTTTAGTTCCTAACTTTGTGTTGAAAGTATCTATGTTTTCATTCAATGTTCAGTGATTACTCAATTTATTTTTTTCTCATACAATCACGTTTCACATTTTTCTGAGTTGTTTAAATTTTTCAAATTAAGCTGTCAAGCATAAACAAACATGTTTTATACTTAGATGTTTGATATGAAATTCTAATTAGTTGCATGTAATAGTTTAAAAATATTTATTACAAGGATAGATGGTGTGTTTTCTATCTAATCAGATTGTTTGTTTGTTGTAGGTGCCTGGCTTCTTGTCTAATTCTATCAACCTACAAGCATATAAAGAGGTACACTTAGACAATATAGTTTTCAGCTGTGAAACTTGAGACATTGTTCTACAATATAAATACATTATTATTAAACCATTGGCAGTATAGATTTTAACTGTAAACATTGAGACATTGTTCTATAATACAAGTGCATTGTTTCTAAAACATAGGCAGTATAGATTTTGACTGTGAAATTTGAGACATTTTTATACAATACAAATACATTATTGTTATTAAAACATAGGCAGTATAGATTTTAACTGTAAACATTGAGACATTGTTTTACAATACAAATACATTATTTCTAAAAAAAAGACAATAGTGAAGTAAAGTTTTTAAATGAAAAACTTAACACATTGTTATATAATGTAAATGCAGGCACTCTTATTACTATAAAGTAACCATCTCACTTAACACATTGTTACATAATGTAAATACAGGCACTCTTATTACTATAAAGTAACCATCTCACTTAACACATTGTTACATAA